AAATTAGTTAACAAGATTTGTAATCAAATTACAAATCTTTTATGCAAGATAAATTTTGTACTAAATTAATAAGAACAAATTTGGCAATATAAAATTTATGTAACAGTTACAATTTTATACTAATTTAGTAAGGAATTGTTAACAGATATTAAAAAAAAATTTTTAGGCAAAAATAAAACTTATAAGTATTTTTAAAGACATTTGAGACTCTAGAGAGCTCATTTTTTGTACTAGAAAGATGATTTAGAGCTTGTTATACTCAGAAGACCCTGGCCAACAACTTTACTTAAGAGCACAAGAAGAGTTAGAAGCTAGTTTTAATGTTATTTTAGAATTTTACTGCCCTTAGTTTTTTAAATATAACTCTACTTAGAAAAGAGTGAGAGTTATAAATCTAGACTACTAGAGTGTAAAATTATATGTAGAGCAAGTTTACTTAAGAGCAATTGCTTGGTTTATATAATAAAATTTTAAGAAATTTTAGATTTTAAAAAATTTTTTTAAAAAGATTTGGTACAAAAGATTTGCAGATTAAGTATATCCTTTTCTTCTAGTACTTAATCTGCTATATATCGACCTACTAATATTAGTAAAACTAAGATAAATAAGATACAAAATATAAATTAATTTGATACTTATATACTAATAAATACTAATTGCAGAGAATTATAAAAATTTGTAAAGTATATGATTATTTTAGAAAAAACAAATACAGCAGATCAATAACTTGGAATATACAAATATATTGAATAATTTACATTATAGTAAACTAACAATATCACAATATGAAAATCTTTGCAATTAAATAATAGCAGCAGATGAAATAAACTTATCAAAATAAAAAAATACTATATTTTTAGTTAAAAGAAATAATCTATAAGTACAAATAAACTTTGAAGCTATAATAAAATATACAAAAGACTATAATCAGCCTGTTTATTATATTTGTACAAAAGATATATATAAAAATAGACCTGTTCATAGCAGTATAAAACAGAAATTTTTAAATATATCAGATATAAAATTGAACACGTTATGTGGTATATTACCTTTATCTATTGGAATAAAAGTAGCTATAACTATCAATATTTGTACAAATTATAAAATAGTAAATAGTGTATATAATATTTATTAAAAAATTATATATTATAGTATATTAGCTATTACAAAAAATATAGAAGATAATGAAAAAGAAATTATCTTTAGTATACCTTCTAAATATATAATTATAGAAATTCTTAGTTGCAAATTAGGTTTATATAATAACTTTTTTTAAAATTATATACTAATTTATACTATTAAATAAAAATACAAATATATACATAAAATAAAAGATAAATCAAATATAATAAGAGAATTTGAAAGAACACAACTACTAATTATACTAGCTTTTGTATTTACAGAATTCAAATATTAAGGTGCTATTCTAAAAAAAGTAATCATTAATTTAAATAGTAAAAATATAAGTAAGGTATTTATATCATATTATCTTAAATACAAAAACTAGAAGATATGAGAATACTACAACTATTTAACCAATTCAACCTTGATATTAAAATTGATACTAATCTTAAAAAAGAACTTGAATCTTTTAAAGTATATTCAAAAATAACTAAACTACTACTCATATAGCCTAATACTGATAAATAGTAAATATAAATATTAAAATTTCTATAATCAAAAAATAGTATACTTAAAAAAAAAAATACTACCTAATATATTACAAATATACAAATATATGTATATAAACAATCTACTAACTTAACTTTAATCTGTATTTAATATACTATATAATATTTACTATTGATTTATTATTCTTTGCAAAATATCTAAAGATATGCTTTTAACTAATATTTATAATTTTTTATATAATATTATCGAAATCTAATTATCTATTTATAATTTTTAAAAAACAAAGTTTCGAGTATTATATATTATATATATTCTAAATACTAATAAAAATTAATCATATAATATACTAATAAATATATACTTGAATATGACTATTCTTGTTCTTGAATCACAGATACTTGTCATATAAATGACAATAATCTAGAGCAAAAATGATAATTAAACGTTAAAATATCTATACAGAACAAAACTATAATAAAATCAAAATAAACTATTAAAATATAATTAGCAATAATATCATTATTATAATGATGATCATATAATACATTCATATATAAGTATATAAATAATATATAAAAAAAAGCAAAATAGAATTTTTATTTTAGTTAAAATTAAATAATAAATAAAATCTTATAAAATTTGTTATTAATATTATTTATAATAAATAAATAAATAATGATAATTATAATCAAATTAAACCTTAAAAATCAAAGGATAGAAAAGGTTGCTTGCAAAAACTAGTTACAAAGTAAAAGAGTGTTAAAGTGTTTGTCCTAGTGCAAAATACTGTTTGTTGTTTCTTCTTCTTCTCTACTACTTCTTTTTTTCTTCTTTTTGTAAAGTATACTGAGCTATGCAACTTGTGCTTCTATTTAATAACTACTATTTTGCTAGATTTTCTAGAGTTTTAAATTATTTTGTATTTAAAAAATATTTGCTCTATAATAGTTTAGATGATCAGCAGAGAGAGTTTTTTGATTATTAAATTGGTTAGAAGATTATTATATATATAACTCTATAATAGAAAATTAATAAAATCTAATTAGCTAAAGAAATAACTTTTTTTTTTTTATTTTTTAACAAGCTGTCTGCAGATTTTTATTAAATATTATTTTCAAATTATATTTGTTAGATCTGGCGATCTTAGTGTAGTGGTTAGGTTGCCAGACTGCTATACAAGAGGTTTAGAGTTCAAATCCTACTATATACAAAATTGAATAATTACCTAGACATCTGTATCCAACTTATGGTAAAACTCTGACTATTTCTGGGGTTGTAACCTTATAAATCACATTGTACTAATACCAATCAGGGTATTGGAAGTATGACAGGGTGTTCAGCGAAGCATAATGTTATACGAATAAATCTTGATAGGATCTATGAGCAGGAGACCTGCATAGTAGAAATCCTAAGTTAGGTGAAGTAGTATGGATTTCAATAGTCATACTAGTTAACATCTAATCTGAGAAAGGAAATCTGTGTATGAAAAGATCAGTGAAATAAATACGAGTAAGTTCTGAGTATAGAAGAATTGATGAAACAGGTGCAAATAAGTCTATTACACGAGGTTGTATGACAATACCAATCTGGCTTGGCAGCTAACTAGATTTGGAAGGATCTGTCTCGTGTGATATCCAGCAGCAAAGCAGACAATACCAAGCAACAGATTTGAGAGGATCTACTTCGTGTGATATCTGAAGGCACAGATGACTAACTTGGTAGAAGGCCACAGTAGAAACTGGGTTTATACAAATATCAAACAAGGGTATATGCAAGCTAAATTAGAATATAGCATAGCATAGTTAGGTACTATAGCATCCATCGGTTAGGAAGTTGATGAAGGGACACCTTGTGATAGGGTCTAAGCTCCGAACTATAAAGTTTGTAGACTAATGTCAGCTCGGGTATCTTCTAGAAGAAGTAACACAGGGTTAGGTGAACCTTGATAAAAAAGGATAGAATACAGATAAGTGTCATAGGGCCAGAAAGTTTAAATAGGTAATCTTCAAATAGATTTTAGGTATGGCAGCTAGTATAGAACCTTCGGGCGGACTACTTAAATTAAACAATCTAAAGTTATACATGTAGCTAGTTGTACTCTCACAATATGTAACATTTACTCACTATCAATACTAATAAAAATTTCAGCTGATGGCATTTGTATAAAGTAAAAAAAAAAAAAAAAAAAAAATTACATTTGTTAGTAAAGATACAATTGGCTATATGTACAACTTTAGTCATTATCTATTTACAGGTTCTGCTATATAGGTTACCTACTAATTGCTATATCTAGTATCTGCCTGTAGATACTCTATTTAAATCCTCTGGTATTACTGTATAACTTTATATTTAATCTAATATTTTATATCTATGCTAATTTTATGCTACCTCCCTTGAGAACTACATAGACCAACTTGTGTCTCAAATTGTCTTTATAGGACTAGACCCTATCATAGAGATACAACCTATTTATCTTATACTAGTAAGAGCTTGTGGATGATCCTAACTATGCTATGCTATATCCCAATTAAGCTAGCATATACTCTTATCAGTATTCGTATAAACCTAATTTCTTTTGTAGCTCTTCATCAGATTGTCTAGTTCTTCTGAATATTTTACGAAATAGATCCTCCCAAATCCAGTTAGCTACTAAGCCAAGTTGGTATTGCTATTTGTATAACATTATATTATGCTTGACTCTTCTATTATACTATAGACTTACTTGTACCTACTTGGTCTTCATATTTCATTCCTAGACTTCTTCTAAATCAAGTATCAAGTCAGTATGATAATTGAAATTCGTACTATATCATCTAACTCAAGATTTCTACTATGCAAGTCTCCTGCTTGTAGATCCTATCAAGATTTATTTATATAATATTATATCATATTTAACTTTTCTATTACACTTCTAATATCTAATTAATATTGGTACAATATAATTTACAGAGTTACAACCTCTAGAAACAGACAGGGTTTACCATAAGTTGGATACAAAGGTCCAAATAATTATTCAAATTTGTCAACAGTAGAATTTGAACTCTAGATCTCTTACATAGTGATCTGGCAACCTAACTACTATATTAAGATCACTAGATACTTAAGGAAATAACCTTAATTAGAAAAAAAATAAAATAAAATAATTATAATTAATTACAATTAAATTAATTTTTTTTAAAAAAAATATTGTTATAATTAGAAATTATTGATATTTTTTTTTAAAAATTTAGCAGTCATATAATGACTTTATTTAGATTTGTTTTTCATTTAAAAATAGTATTATTTAGCTATATACTATCTAATATCTAATTTTTTAAGTTTTGACTTATTTAGTTATTTTAAAGATATATATATATAATCTACTATAGTGACTTTTGTCTTATATTATAGTAATTTATAAAATTTTATAAAATACAAATAGGTTATAAAAAAGATATCATAGCCTATTATGACTAATTTTAAATCTAACTAGCTATTATTCTTTTCTTTACTTCTCTATTTATACTATCTAATACTATTTTAAGACTTAATATTATAGTTTTCTGTATTTTTATTTATTTTATAATTCAATTTTTTTATTATAGCTTCTTTTTTTAATATTTTTTTTCTTTTTTTCTTCTATACAAATTTTTCTTTTTTAGAGATATTTGCTTTTTTCTTTCATACTTCTGTATTCTTATATTATTTTTTCTAAATTTCTTTATATACTAATTCTATCTAAATATATCAAAAAAGGCTCTAGAACTTAATTATTCTTCTTTCAGAACCTAGTATTACTTTGATTTTTTCTGTATTTTCTTTACATAGAATTCCTCTTATTCATTCTTTTCTTTTTTAGTATTTCTTTTCATACTTATATTAAAAAATTTATTAGAGATTTATTAAATTCTAATTTTTTTTTATTCTTTTATTTTTGTAAAGCTATTCTTATATTTCTTTTTTAATTTTTTTCAGTATTAGATATATTTTTTCATATATAATTAATTAGCTAATTATTTTATTTTCTTTACCATATCTTTTTTTTTTTTATTTTTTTTTATATCTTAAGTAATCTTGCTTGTCATTTTATTAAGAGAAAGCTAAGAAAAAAGCTAAAAACAATCTAATATACAAGTATACTAATTTGTTCTCTCTACACTATTCTAGACTAACTTAGCTATCTTTAGAGTACCTAAGTTCATCTGCCACAGAAGCTATTCTCTCACAAAAACCTTAATTTGTCTAAACAGATTCTCAGAATTTGGTTAATGAAAACAAATTCTAGCTATATATCAAGATTCTAAGTCTCTTTCTATCTAGTTAAAACTAAGTAGAAAGAAGTTAGTACCTAGTCTCAAGAAATAAAAGTAATAAAAATTGTATAGACCTAAATGGTCACAGTTTATAACTAAATCTATACTAGAAAAAACCTGCTACAGATAAAGAAAACTAATATAGAACAAAAACAAATAAAGAAAGAAAGAAAATAAGATAAAAAGAAATATTGCCCTTTGACTTGAACCAGATATAAAAATATTATGTTTTTCTTTACTATATCTTTTGTAATAACTATTTTTGTATAGTTATAGTTTTTTGCTATTTAAAATTTTAATTGTTAAAAAAAGATTTTTGATATATTTAATCTTGAATAGATGTAAGTAATTTATTTTAAAATTTTGAAATTGCCTATAGCAACATTTTGATATTTCTTTAAATACTTTTTAGTTTTGTTTTTGAATTCTTATTTAGTGTTCTTTATTATTATTTTTCTTTAACTATATCTATTCTGCTTTAGATATTGTTTGAACTATTTTTTTAACAAATATTCTTAGCAAAGTTTCTAGATTAAGTTTTTTCTGTTCTAAAATATATTTTATACTACTATTGCTAATATTATTTAATTCAGTAGTATAGGCTTTATATGATTCTTTCTTCACTAAAATATCTATTAAGTTATTGCAAATATCTTTTGAGTAGCTTTTAATATTTGTAAATCTTATTTGAACTACTTTGCTTTCGCAAGCTTTTTTGATTATATACAAAATATTATTGTTTTTAAACTTCAGCTATTTATATACTTTTTCTTTTTTTAAAATATCTCTTGATTACAAGAATTGTATATATACTATTTGTTCTTATCTCTACTGTACTTTTATTTAGTACTAAAAGAATTTCTACTAAATAAACTATTAGCTTTACTTGAGTAAATAAAAACTAATTTTTAATTCTTCTTTTATATCTAAAAACTATATTATTTGTATTATCTATTTGACTATACTATATCTTATTATTAATTTGTTTTTAGTATCTTCTTTACTAAATAAGCTATCTGTATAAAATACTATTTCTTTTACTCTCTTGTTTGCTTCTAATCTATTTTTTAGTTTCTTTCTAGTTTTTATATTCTGTATGATTTGATTAATTAACTCTACTTCTCAACTACTTTCTATTTCAATATATTCTAAAATCTTAAACTTTTTAAATTCTTCTACTTTATTTTTTTTAGTTTCTTTTCCTATTTTTTTTAAATACTCCCTGTTAAATGTTACCTATAGTATATTATTTTTTTTTCTTATAAAACTTAAAATATTGTATACTTCTTTTAGAGTGATTCTTTGTTTTTGATTATCTCTTCTCAATTTAAAACTTCATTATATACTTTTAATTAACTACTTTCTTAAAGTATGTTTTTATAATCTTCTTTTCAAATTTTAACTTCTACTAGCTTCTTTTTCTTTTTAACTATATATTTAAATTTACTTTTTCTATTTTCTTTTCTTTTTATGAGAATTTATTTTTTTTGTCTTTTATCTCATAAAATCTTTTTTTTAGTTTTTTGTACTTTAAATTTTTTTCTCTTTCTGTATTCTTCTTTTACTTCTTTTGATTTCTTGTCTACTAATTTTTCATCTTTTATAGCTTTATACTACTTTATTTTCCTTCTAATATATCTTTTTCTCTCTCTTATTTTAAATTGCCTTCAGATATCTATTTTTTCTTATTTTTATCTAAGAGCTAGTTTATATATTATAAATTAAACTTACTTATACCTACTTATATTTTGTTTATATTATATTTATTAAGAATATTGCTAATAAGACAATTTTTCTTTTTTTGCAAGTTTGTAAAGTCTTAACTTGCTATAAATTCATTTTTTATAACACTCAGTTCTAATTTTTTTGCATATTATATTACTTTAGCTTCTAGATTTTTGTGCTTAGTTTTTTTCTATTTTTTTTTTTATTATTAAGACCACTTCCTTAGCTGATTAGATTTTTATTAGTTTGTTATTACGGAACTATCATATGAATAGTTTCTTAAGGTTTTACAGTTACATGATAAGTGTACAACAAGTTACACGTACAATATCAGCAAAAAAAATAGGCTGATAAGCATCGATTACTAACCAGGGGGGATATGTATCGATACTAATCACCCCTGCTGATTATTATCGATTACAACTGTAATCGATATATAGTGAATTCGTTTAATAACGAAATACAAAAATAATCGATATATAGTGAATTCGATTAATAACGAAATACAAAAATAATCGATATATAGCGAATTCGATTAATAACTGTAATCGAGATATATCGAATCTGATTAATAACGAAATAAAATTATTCAAACGATATATTACGAAATATATTTATTTTAATATAATTTATTCCCAATTATTTATAATTTATTCTCAATTATTTTATACTTATCAAAGCGAAGTCAAATCAAATTTATTAAGTGATATTTTATTACAATTTAGAATAATACAATATAAAATGTATAAATGAAAAAGAAAAAAAATAAAAGAAATGAAAAAATAAAAGAAAAAAAACTCTCCAAATCGAATACTAATGTTAATTGAATTCAAATAATTCATCTAACTCTTCTTGAGAAATCTTTGAGGTGGATTTAGGCTTGGGATCAGGTGAGGATGGTCTCGATTGTTCATCATCCTAGGGACATACTGCAAGCTCATCGTTCATGATTGTAATTGCTGAATCATAATTAGGACCACCATTATCGAAATCATTCTGTTAGAATACAATGAATATTAATAATAAATAGTGATATTATTTATTGATATAAAACGATAAAGACAAATACTTACCAAGAATTAATCTATTTGGCGTTTCATCAGCTTACTCTTGCACAAAACAGATTTAGACTGAGGGTTAAGTAAAATATCGCACACTGCCAATGTAAAAGCACAGTGATGGTTAGTCAAAGTTGGAACAGCAACTATGCTGAAGGCAGACCTCGCAATTACAGAGACTCAAAAAATCCCTTCGTCATTCTGCTCAAAAAGAGCACGATAGCAATCGTGGACTTGTGCACTTTCCTTCCAACAGACTATTTCAGCAGCAGAAGTATTGCTTTTTAGGGGAGGCACCTCTCGGAACTGAAAACTTTCCAAATTGTATTATGGACGTTTTTCAATGCTGCTCCATGATAGTTCTTCATCTTTTGCAAGAGCTAGTATATACATATATATATAAAATAAAATAAAAAAGTTAGTATAATAGCAAAAAAGATAAGCAAAGAAAAAAAAATTGAAACCAATTAAATTAGCGAAAAAGAAAAAAAAAATGAAACCAATTAAACTAGCGAAAATAGTTATTACATACTTAACTACACTATCCTCTGTGAAATTTGTTGGTGAATTCATTTTCACTTAAATTCGACATATATTCCTGGAAATTCTCATTAAGGTAGTCCTTAAGGGTCTCCTTTAATGTATTTTGTGTAGAATAGATATAGAGCAGGAAAAGACGTTTAACAACGCCTGTATATATGTCCTGCAAGAATTTTAAAATAGGGTTAAAAAAAAATACTTACCATACAATATATTAACAAGGAGCACTTACATCTAACACCTTCACAGAAAGTTCCTTTCCTTGGTCCCTCCTTTAATATTTTAGTTCATCTTTAATTTTGCGGATATCTTCACTGTTACTTCGGATTAAAAGGTAGAGCTGCTTGTGCTGTTGAAATAACTGTTAGTCAACTTGGCGACGATAACTGGTATGTTCTTATTTCATTTTGGGGAAAAAAAAAAAAAATTTTCAAAAAAAAAAAAAAAAAAAAAAGGAAAATCACTATCTAAAGATTCTAAGATCAGAAAAAAAAAAAAAAAAAACTTATATGGGTATTGCAAAGCGAAAACCTGATTTTTGGAAGTTTCACAAACATAATTACAGGATTTTCCCTTTGCGACACTCATATACTGTACTATCACGATTTCGTAGTTAATCCAAGTTGGATAATTGTCGATCTCGTGATCGTGATCTGAATCATGATCTAGATCTTTCTTGCAAATACTGCAGCAGTGGTGATAAAAATCTATCACGTTTGATAGAACACAATCGAGTTTAGGAGAATTAACATTCAATAGAATGAGATGGAACTTGGGCGGATTGACGTTCGGTTTGGCATGATAGAGTTTGGGTGGTTTGTTGTTCGATTTGGTATGATAGAGTTTGGGTGGTTTGTCGTGATTGATTTCGTCGTTTACCTTTACTACTATTCATACTCTCAAATATTTTCTGCATACTTGCAATACTTTTATTAGAAGAGTCTGAAGAATCACCATCGTCACAAGTATTATAAGTATTGTGAATTGGTTTATGAGGTCCAATGATATTATGAGATGAACAATATGAAGTAATCGAACAGGATCAATTTGAATTGATGGGAACAGCTGGATATAGAGAAGGTAAATTGTTGTTCGAAATTAAGTTAGCATTTGAAGCAGTGTTAGTTGTTTTTAGAAGCATTGTTATTAGAAGAGTTGTTGTTAGGAGAGTTGTTGTTAGGAGAGTTGTTATTGGGAGAGTTGTTGTTGAGAGAATCATTGTTGGAAGAGTTGTTGGGAGAGTCATTGTTAGGAGAATTGTTGTTGGGAGAGTCGTTGTTGGGAGAGTTGTTGTTAGAGGAGTTGGGAAAGTTGTTATTGGAAGCGGGAGAGTCATTATTTTGAACGGAAGAGTTGTCATTAGGAGAGTTGTTATTAGGAGTGTTGTTATTAGAAGCTATTTCAAAAATCCAAAAATGTCTTTACCTTTTCAAATGTCAAATTGGTTATATAAATAACTAAGAAAAGAATGACGATATTAATCATTATTATTAAAATAAAATAAAATAAAAAAAAGTAAAAGTATGCTTATCTCATTTGTTGCATTTGAACAACTTACGTATAATGATAATTTATTGTTTCTAAGAAATCATGTAATAAAAATTAATGTATGTCGTTGTTAAGCATTATATAGTAGTAAAAAAAAAAAGAGAAAGTATACTTATCTCATTATTTTTTTGGATAATGACAATTTATTATATCTGAGAAATAGGAATTAAATTTAATATATTATGATGTAAATCGTTAAGTTATAGAGAAAAAGAAAGAACGAAATTATAAATTAATATATGATACCAATCGATAAGTTACAAAGAAAAAAAGATACTTTATTGTTTTGATCATTTTACGTTGCATGACAATTTACTATCATTACATGTATAATGACAAAATGCTGAGTTTTATTTCATTACTAATAATTTTTCGCTGAGATCTATAATATAAAATAATATTACACAGCATAATGAGTTTTTTGCTTGCATATTACATATTATTGCTTGACGAAACTATGTGATGCCTAATCATCACACAGCCACATGTTAATAATATTAGTGCAATTAACATGTTACTATTTGT